AAAACTAGCTTATAATATAATTTAATTTGCTGTTCTTTTTTCTTTCTCCATTTTAATTACTATAAGTAACATAGACCATTGTGTAAATTATGCAGTGTGATGGTTTGGTAGATACATATTTTGCAAAATATTTTTTGTCCTCTCTCAAAACATCCTACACTATAAATATACTTTATTTTTGAGGTTTTTCTTAGATCTTATCTTCACTTTCTTTACTTACTCCTAGGGTTTTGAGCCATCTCTTTCATGTGCTTTTAAATGTCAGTTTTAATCATAAAGTAGGTCTTGTACATATATATTATACTCCCACCAAGATGTAATTATTTTTTAGCTTAAAACCCCACTAAATTATTCTTTGTGGGTGCTTTCTTCAAGTTCTCCTTCTCCTGGGCATCATGAATAGAATCCTTTTGATACTGAAGTTATGAAAACCAATCTTAAATAAGACTGCCAACAGATCACAAGATTATGAAGTAATATAAAACCAAACATTTTGGCTCAGTGTTTAGTGTTATTTTTATTTGTTTTTTCTTGTTCAAAAATATTTAAGATGTTTTAAAATATTCATTTTTACACAACAAAAATAAGTGACACTTAGCAATCATGTGCTAAGGTAGTGTGAAAACAGTTTATGTGCCATTTTCCTATTTTATCCTACTATAGCCCTATAAAGATTAGATACTTTAGTGTCAAGGTGCCGTGCCAGGAAACTCCAGCAGTCAAGTAGTGGCACTAATGCTCTTTTTAAATAAGAAAATGAAAGATTTAGTGATAGTGATGAAGATGAGGGAATATAGAAAAACTACTTTGCTTATCTGTGATAATATATTATAGTTGCTCGTCAGTGATTAAGTATCTAACAATAGAAGCAAATGGAGAACTTAGTAGTGGCTTTTTAACAAAAATAATTTATTATAACTAGTTCTCAAGGTACTTTGATAGCTCAAAAATTAATTCAACTATAGTTTTAAAACATATAGCAATTCACTTAAAAATTTTGGGGGGACCACACCCACCTGGTTACTCCTTGTGGGGCTCAGGAGACCAAAGGTACTGGGAATCAAGCCCAGGTGTGGTCCATGTGCAAGGCAAGCACCCTGTCTCTGTAGTATCACTTTGACCCTCCATGATCATATGGTCATATGGATATAATATAGTGTTGCACTCAAGGAATTCTAAGATTTTACTAATTAGTGACTGAAGAAATCTCTGCAGCAAGGTGCTGGGGACCAAAATTTATTTGTGTGTCTCTGGATTGTGGCCACGTGGGAGTTTAAGTAGATGGTGGACTGATGTGACATCATCTCAGTGCTGCACTGGGATGGGGAGAAGGAGGGCCCACTATCACCGTAAACTTGTACCTGGTGCTTCTGGCTGGCTTGTAGAAAATGGCGCCTACTGGAGCTCTTAGAGGGCTGGTGCAGTTATAGTTTTTATTATGATTCCATTTAAGGGCACCAAGCATGAGAGTGAGTGCTCTTAAACCTTCTGTAGTTAAGATGGAGTGGATCAGAGTTCAGCCAGAAAAGCAGCATCAGTATGAGTTGTGGATATGCAATATATGTGTCTGTGAGCTTTTCACTCCTGCTGAAGTGATGTCCCTCAAGTATAAGGAGGATATCTTATACCATATAGTATAGGAATATATTTTAAAATTTCTTTGTTCCTATAGAGCACCTATTTGAGTATTAGAATATCTCCTCAACAAATCTTCCCTGGATGGGCTAAACTTGCTATGGTCTAATAGTCCCAGCAATTTCTCTCACCCTGCAGCAGTTTTAAACTCATATTTCTTTAAGATATACAATTCCTTGCAGCATTGTGGTACCATAGGAAGCAAATTAAAATAAAAGTTTTAATTTTACCAACTTTAACCATTATTTATCTTAAGGAGAACTGGCTCTTGCAAAAGCAAATGATTTGTCATTTACAGATAAAGTTCTTTTTCCATTTCTATTAGCCATTTTCAGAATCATTTAGTTAGATTTCAAGATACTTCAGTTAATATCAAATAATCACTCTACACTGCCTGGTTTATATAATAAAAACATAATTTTACAGTACTAGGTAAATTTCTTAATGAATTTGTTTTGTTACAGTTAATTTATTATAAGTTAACTAAACCACATTTGTTTAGAGATTATTTGTATTTTATAATGAGCCAACTTTGTATATCAGGTGCCATTATATCACTGAATATTTTTAGGCTGGTCTTTTTTCTTCTAGAATCACTTTGGAATTCATTTTAAATTCTTTTTTCTGGACATTCTTGAATAGAATTATTTATATTATTAAATTGGTAGTTGTTTGTAAGTGTATATTGTAAAGGAAATTTAAAAGAGGATGTGGGATTTCCAAATATTATTGATTAAAATATAGCAGTTGTGGTAACAGTCATAATATTGGGACATGAGATATTGGGGTGAAAAATTTGGACACATGACTTTTGCTCTTGGAAAATTAATTGATGTACAATTGCATATAAACTGGCCAGAGATATAGTACTGTGGTTAAGGTTCAGGAAGTAGTTTATAGGCTATTATAAAGGTATCATCATTTCTCTTATGATACAAAGAGTATAGAAATCAAAACAGGAAATATCTAGCCAAACAGTGGAAACACATGATTAAGCAACACTAGCATATACAAAAATAGTTATATCTGTGAGCATGTAGTTATCAAGGGGCAGAGAAATCAAACCTGGCTCGGCGTGCTGGCTGTGTGCAAGGCAAACACCCTGCCGCTGTGCTATTGCTCCAGCCCTGTGAGTTATTGTTAAACTTATTTAAAAGAAAACAAAGTATGAAATTTTACAGACTCATTTTTGTTTGTTTTGTTGACCACACCCACACTGGTGCTCAAAGGGGAACTTGGTACATTAATACTTTAAAAGTAAATTCTTCTGTACTTCAAGTAGGAAATTGTGCTAGTGGAAACTGAACCATAACCTTGATTAGTTGGAAATAAATGCGCATTAACATTTTCATCCTCATTGCCATCATCATTCTCATTATCAACGTCATTTTCTTGATCAAAACTATAAAAATTGTATTAAAGTGTTTACTTTTTCCCTGGCTCTGTACTCAAGACACTATATGGATTATATGGATTATATGGATTATATGGATTATATCTTTTTTGTTTTGTTCCCATACTGTGGGGGAGATACTCTGTTAATTTTATTTTCCAATGAGAAAACTGAAGATTGAAAGTGATGTCAGTCAGGTGACTTATATGAAGTAGGGAAGAGAGAGGCAGCAGCCTTGAAACATTTTCTCCCCATCCACAAATCTAGGACTTATAAGGCTCTACTGTGAGTCTTATAAGTGCTGGAAAGTAAAGTCAGTCCTAGACCTTATGCAGGTCTTTTGGATCGTCATCTTTCCTTTCCTTCTCAGAAAGAATTTCAGGGGGAGATAATCAGTGAAGTTAAAAGAGGTTTTATTTGGAAATTTTGGGACAGGGAAAGAGAGGAGAGGGAGGGAGGGAGAGAGAGAGAGAGAGAGAGAGAGAGAGAGAGAGAGAGAGAGAGAGAGAGAGAGAGAGAGAGAGAGACAGGCAGAGACAGGCAGAGACAGAGACAGAGAGACAGAGATTGAGAGAGACAGAGAACATGACCTTCTGCAGAGTAGAGAGGGAGCCTCAGTGCACACCACACCATTAGATACAAAAGTCTGAAAGTGCACATCTCAATAGGGGAGATGCAGGTGTATTCAGAAACCACATGTGCTCAGCAGCAGCACATGGGTATAGCCAGCGCATGGACTCAGGCAACATATGTTTCTTGTGTTCAAGTTGGCTCTTCTAGTGTATCTCCCAAGCTACCCTATGTGGAGCTTTCTGCTTAAGTTTGTTGTGAGGGTGGTTGCTAAGGGGATAGAGTTGGGAGCAGTTGATGGTCTTCTTTGATATTCCATTCCTGGTCTTTGTTCCTGCTGGAGCTTCGCTCTGAGGGGAGTCCAACCTTCCCTGGGTCTGTGCTGGCACCAGGTAAAGGTCTTATTAGTTCCTGTGTCCATAGGTGGGTTTTTAGCAGCCTTTGACCTATTGGTTTTATTACTTCTCAGGAGTTCATTGTTATGGGGATCCCTTCCCCTACCTACTTGCCTGTCTGTTTCTAAAAGTTTAACTTTTTCTGAGGTCATAATATATAACTATATAACTATAACTACCACTGTCACTGTCACCGTCCTCCCGTTGTTCATCGATTTGCTCGAGCGCGCCCAATAATATCTCCATTGTAAGACTTGTCACTGTGTTTGGCATATCTAAAACATCACGGGTAGCTTGCCAGGCTTTACTGTGTGGGCGAGATATACTCAGTAGCTTGCCGGGCTCTCCAAGAGGGGCTGAGGAATCGAACTCGGGTTGGCCATGTTGGCCACTTGCGAGGCAAATACCCTACCTGCTGTGCTATCGCTCCATCCTGACTATATATATATATATATATATATATATATATATAGTTATACACATACATACACATCATGTATGGTTTTGGGGTCACATCCAGAGTGCTTAGGGTTTACTCCTGGCTTGATAGTCAGGGATCATTCTTGGTGGGGCTCCTAGGATTGTATGCAGTGCTGGCTGTCAAACTTGGATCAGCTTGCAAGGCAAGGATATTACCACTGTATTGTTTTTCCAGCCCCATCAACAATTAGTTTTATAAAAATCTGGAAAAGTATATGAAGCCTGAACTACTAATTTTAAAATGTCTGGTTTGAAATTTGCTAAAAACCAAGATAAAATTTCATATTTTGCCAAAATAATTTTTACCAGTGTGATTAAATCAATAATATATTGTTATTTTGTGGTTTCCTATTTGGATTTTTAATGGAGATTAAATTGCTATAACAGAATATTTCATCCTTATCTTGTTAGGGTTTTTTAAGACTAATTTTTTAAGAGTAGAAGTTTTATATCAAAGTAAAATTCTTTCATTGTAAAAGACAACAAAAAAAGTTTGAACATTTTATTGTTTCACCTTCTTGTCTTAGGAAAAATTGGATGTCGGCACGAGAAAAGAAGTTGATGGCATGGGAACATCAGAAATAAAATATGGAGACTCAGTGTGCTATATCCAACATGTAAATACAGGCCTGTGGCTTACTTACCAGTCTGTCGATGTGAAATCTGTGAGAATGGGATCCATACAACGTAAGGTAAGATGATTTTGCACATGCACAGATAAAATGGATTAATTAATAACACACACACACACACACACTTTCTAGCAGTCTTTCCTTCTTCCATCCCTCCTTTTCTTGGTTCCCTATTGACTCTAAGACAATGACTACACCTTTGAAGTTGATGAGATTCTGCTACTGAGTTGCTCTCAACAATTCTATGCCCCATTGTTTTGTTCTTTGACTCATCTCTAAGCATCATCTTCATTCAGTATAGACAACCTGCATTTACAGCACATTACTTGAGGCCTCTCCACAAAGAATTCATGTCTTTTACACACCTCTGCCTTTGACTATACATTTCTTCTATTCTACAATGCCTTTTAAAGCTTTTTTCTCTACCCGATTACTTTATATCCTGCAAAGTTAAGTTTAAGTGGTCTTAAAAGATCGTTTTGACAATCTCAACTTATCCCTGTATATTCTATTTTGGGTTCATGAGATGCATGAATTTGTTTTATCTTACAACTTATAAACTCAGAGTTTACTTTATGTATGTTTCACACTTCCTTGAATGTGAGCTCCCTTTGGGTAACTGCATAATCTTAGATTTTCCTATTTCCTACATTTGAATGATATTCACCACATGCACTGACTAAAATAATAATACAAATATTGTTTACAAATGTGAAAGATTGTAGTGAACCAGAATTTTAATTGTTAATGGATTTATTAATAGTGACTATACACATCTCGTATAGACTACTTAAAGTTTTGTTGATCTTTACAGTGAGCAGTGCTCATTTGAATGATTTTAGCGTCTAATTTTGCTTGGGATTAGCTTCACCCCTTTATTACCTTCCAAAGAGTTTTGATAGAGAATTTGAGCAACTCTCCTGCAGACCTAATAGTTATATTTGAATAATCACTTTTTTTTTTGCTTGTTGGGTCACACCAGGTGATGCACTGTGTAAACACACAAAAAATAAAAGGGCCAGCAGTCTATCTCTCCAGCCACCCGCGTTCAGTAATCTCAGACCATTTTCCCACTCCAGGGAGGTGGATGGCGATGGTCAGGCGAAGGAAGGAAACGGGGGCCAGGTTGGTTGGTCTTAGCAGCAGTTGGAATCTACATCTCCAAAATCAGCCAGCCTGGAGCCAGGCATCTACATCCCAAAGACCAGGCCTGGTTTAGCACCTGGGATCTGCATACCTAAGGCCAGCTAGGTTCCTGTGAGATAAGAGAAACTGCCTCAATATACTGAAATCATTTACTGAAGGCAATTTGAAGGGGAGAAAGTTCAGTCTCATCCCAGCTAGTCAGGACACACAGGAAAACTCTTTCTAGGACGTGTTTCTCCTCTCCTTGTCCACCCAACGTATAAGCATACATAATATTAATCATTTTGTATGGGCACAGTAAGAAATACTTTGAACTTATAGAATTGCTCTCCTAGGGCCATCTTGATCTCAAGACTGCAGTGCTCAGGCCAGATATCTTTCCTGTTCCTAGCAGCGGGGTCCTAGTCTCATCGTTACTTTTAGATCATGACAGCATTTGCCTATGATCAAACTTTTAACTTATAGTTAAGAATTGTGGCACCTTGGCCTGGCCCATCACGATGCCAGGGTAGCATATAACTTACTAGCTTGCCCTGGTTCCATCCAGTCCCACGTTGGGACCCTGACCTTGGGGTGCTAGGAAATGAGGGCAACTGAGGCTTAAGTTGAGAAGGCAGATGCCCAGGAGTGAATAATATTCTAAGCCAATCAACTCCTAAATTACAAAGCATATTAATTAATTGTCTTCCTGTATCTATACAAAAGGACATTGCGTTAAAGTAAACTGCTCAAAAGACATAAGGAGAGGAGAAAGGCAATATTAACTTACAGTACAAGTTCAGTGTCCTAGAAGAATGAGACCTTACAAAGTGGTTGGGGAAAAGAGCATAGAAGTGGTTACAGACAAAGTAATGGAAGTGACTCGGGAGCACTGTGATGGGTGCAACCCGATAAACCTAAGCTCCGTGCACTCCAACATCGCACGGGGTTACTCCTGGATCTGCACTCAGGAATTACTCCTGGCAGTGCTCAGGGGACCATATGGGATGGTGGAAATCGAACCCGGGTTTCCGCCCTACCTGCTGTGCTATCACTCCAGCCCCGCAATCACATTTTTAATTGATACAGATACAAAAATTTTCGTCAGTACTTGTGTGAAACATTCCTTCTTTTCTGAGGATGAGCATGTTTCTGAAGTCTTAAGGAAAATTCAAATATATACGAAAAATACAAAATAGTATACAAAGCCTTTGTATAACTATCACTTACCTTTAACACTTCCAGTATTCTATATTCATAATTTGAACTTTACAACCTGGCACTATTTCATTGGATTATTACTGTTATTTAGTTTTAACCTGAGAGGAAAAAAATATTAACATAAAAATGCAAAAGGAGAACTATGGAGTTTCCACAACCAAATACATTTATGTGGCCTGTAATAGTCATGCTGTGGAATTTATTTTTACAGAAAGTTGTCTAATTCCTCCCCCCCCCCCCCCCCCCCCCCCCGCCTAGAGTCCCCTGCCAGGCAAAAGCAAACAGAAAAAGCCACAGGCTAAGAGGAAGGGATATAATGGAAAGGAATGGAGCAGATATTTATTTCTTATTTCCCGTATCTATTACTAGACCCTGTGTACTGTGTCTTCTTTCTGTAGTTTTTTCAATACCCAGTATAACACCTCCAGGAGGGACCCCTGAGATAGCACAGCTGGTAGGGCATTTGACTTACATGCGGCCGACCAGGGTTCTATTCCTCTGGCCCTCCAGAGAGGCTGGCAAGTTACCAAGAGTATCTTGCCCACGTGGCAAAGCCTGGCAAGCTACCTGTGACGTATTCAATATGCCAAACACAGTAACAAGAAGTTTCACAATGGAGACATTACAGGGTCCGCTCGAGCAAATCGATGAACAATGGGAAAACAGTGCTACAGTACTACAGTAAGACACCAGAAGGGTTGTAGGATATTGATCTGGGTGGACTGCGGAAGACCAAATACTCATTCAGGAAGCTGCAGAAGCAGAATTTATTCACACCTGGTGGATCAGGTGTAGCTCAAGCTTTTTTGGTCTACTCCCACTTCTCAACAAAGGCAAAGCAGGGGATTTATACTTTATTAGCCCACACAATGTTCCCTTTGCATTATATACAAATCTAAAGGGCAGTGTTAGGTGACTTGGGGAGGATCTAGCTGGAGGGCTGGAGGAGGGCATTCCTTGAGAAACTAGGGGTTTAGCTGAAAGGTGGATCTTGTGAAAAGGACCTGACCCAAAAGCCTTTGGCTGTATATTTCAGCAGGAACCTTAGCTCTACAGCCCAAACAAACAATGAATGTCCCTGATCTTGCCACTTTACTGCCACACTAGTAGATGTTTTGGAATGAAAGTATGCGTTTTCAAAGATTTAGAATTAGTCCGAAGTTGCTGAGATCCCAGAGGACCCTGTTAGCTTGAATTTCTACTGCATTAGCATTGCAGAATTCTAAGCCCAAAGAGGGCTGAATTAACTATTAGCTGGTGAGTGGCTGATGCCCTATCTTCAGAGCAGATTTTTATTTTGGTAATTCTATTTTTCTGAAATTCTTCCACTCAATTTAATTTCATCTCTGCCTTCAATCTCAACTCTTTCAATCCACCATTGGTTTCATGACTGCCAATTTTAAGTCCTTTAATGCTGGTACTTAACTCCTGTGGGGTTACTCCAGGCTCATGCACTCAGGAATTACTGCTGGCAGTGCTTGGGGAACCATAGTGGATGCTGAGAATTGAACCCAGGTTGGCCATGTGGAAGGCAAATGCCCTACCCGCTGTGCTATCACTCCAGCCCCCCTGTTTCTTTACTTATAGAAACCTTTGAATTCCCTCCCAAGTCCCACCTGACTTTTCTCTGAGCACAATAGTCACTTCCAGCAGTACAGGCTGAGCACTGAGCTGTCAGGCTTGCATAGCTGGGAAGGAAGGAAGGAAGGAAGGAAGGGAGGGAGGGAAGGGAGGGAGGGAGGGAGGGAAGGAAGGAAGGAAGGAAGGAAGGAAGGAAGGAAGGAAGGAAGGGAGGGAGGGAGGGAGGGAGGGAGGGGGGAGGGAGGGAGGGAGGGGGGAGGGAGGGAGGGAGGGAGGGAGGAAGGAAGGAAGGAAGGGAGGGAGGGAGGGAGGGAGGGAGGGCTTTGAACTATGAAATACATCTGTCACCAAAGAATTTTAACAAGCATATTTAGGCCTTTAAAATGGAGACAAGTTAACTGTTTTTTTGGTTTCTGTTTTCCTTCATTTTGTTCTTTTATTTCTGAATAACATAACTAGTTTCTCTTCTTGTTAGCCTTCTTTCCTTTTCTATTTTTTTTCATTTTTAAGTAGAGGCCACATCTAGCAGTTCTGGGAGGCTACAGCAGATTGCCTGGGGGCAACAGGGGCCACACTCAAAAGATGGTAGGAACTCTGGAGTTTGGGGGAGTTGGGGATGGCACTCAGGGCCTCATACAAGGAAAGTGTGTGTTGTAACCCTTTGAGGCATCTTCCGAGTCTCTTGTTGCTAATTTTAGTTCAATATTATATGGTTCCTCAATATACATATGCTGTATAAATAGTATAATAATATATGCTATTAAGATTAAGATAAGTAGAGACCACTTTGGAAGCTGCAGGAAAAGAAAGGGAATCCTAGGGAAAGATTTTTTAAGGTGTTATAATGTTGTTTCTTCTGATTTGGTATTCATCCAGTGTTTGTAGATCATTCAACAATTTCATACTATTGAACATATTTCTCTTCATATTATAGTTCATGGAAAGATGGGCTGGAGAGGTAGCATAGCAGGCTATCACCCCCTACTGGGCTTTAATCCCTGGCATCACATATGGACAATCCCCTGAGCATCATATTACCAGGAGAATTACCAGGAGTAATTCTCCCCTCCCTTCCCCTCCCCTCCCTTCTCCTTCTCTCCTCCCCTCCTCTCCCTGCTTTTTGGGTAATACCTGGCTACCACCTGGAATGATTCTTGAATACAGAGCGAGGAGTAAGCCCAGAGCCAGCCAATTATGACTCAAAATCCAAAAAGAAAAAATTCCAACTAGAAACATTTAGTGAAATAAAAAAGCTTTTGGGGGTACAGCAAACCTGGTATGCTGAAGGGTTATTCCTCACTCTGCACCTAGAAATCACTCCTGGCAGTGATCCCAGGAGCATATGGGATGCCAGGGATTGAATCTAGGTCAGCCATATGCAGGGTGAACAACTTACTCACTATACAATCTCTCTGACTCCTAAAATGCAATTTGAAATGAATATAGATTTCTAGAAAAGAACTCAGTTATTATTAATTATGCAATCTGTGTTCAGTACTGCCATAGAAATGGTATACCTATATAATATTTTCCTTTGATTCTTTGTTTAGAGTTTTCTAAGACTATGGAGTTATCATTGAACACAGACAGATGAGAAAACATTTGGGGTTTTGCTCAAATGGATACATTATATTGATTTATTCTATGAAAAATATCTTATTTACTCATCAGAATAATTGTTGAATGGATATATTATATGAATAGTTTGCTCGAGCGGGCCCAGTAACGTCTCCATTGGAGACTTTGTTGTTACTGTGTTTGGCATATCGAATACTCTCGGTAGCTTGCCGGGCTCTCCGAGAGGGGCGGAGGAATCGAACTCGGGTCGGCCATCTTGGCCGCTTGTAAGGCGAACACCCTACCGCTGTGACATCGCTCCAGCCCATATGAATAGTTTGTATTATAATATTGTAATACTGATATTGTAATATCTCTGCATATTATTTTACCTTGTGCGCCATAGTTTTGAAGTTCTGTCTGTTTTTTCTATCATTATGTCTCACTTTTATGAGTATCCTATTATTTTTTTTTAATGTTTAGAATTTTGGGGTCATGCACTGTGGTGCTTGCTCCTGACTCTGTACTCAGTGATGATCACACCTGGTGGTGCTTGGGGACCATATGTGATGTTAGGGGTGGCTGCATGCAAAGCAAGTGCCCTGCCCTCTGTACTGTCACTCTGGCACTGAATGTACATCTTTTGAAACCCCCTTTGCAGAAGAAATGTGGGTGTGATGTTATTATGTCACTTTCTCATAGGCTATTATGCATCATGAAGGCCATATGGATGATGGCTTAAATTTATCTAGATCTCAGCATGAAGAATCACGAACAGCACGCGTAATCCGGAGCACAGTTTTCCTTTTCAATAGATTCATAAGGTATACTTTTATTTTTGCTGTTATAATTAGACATTTTATTTTCACTACTGGGTTTACAGATGAACAATCAATTCCAAAATATACTATGGAAATGAATTTCATACAGTTTGTTATTTAGTAGGTCACATTAGGAAGTACTTGTTAAGTGATTTTATATCTATATTTTTAAGATGGGTATTTGAAACATGAATTTGCTTTTAAAATTGTAAATATAGTTTATTGTTCTTTAGGTTTATTAAATAAACTACCATTTTGCTTGAACTGTTTAAGTCACTTTTACTCTAACAGTAAGAGATACTCTAAAACCTTTTTTTATTAGAATAAAATGGAGTCTTTTTTGTAATAACTAAATTTTCTCATTTAACAGTGAAAACAATTGTATAATTTACAAACTAAACCGCATTTGTTTCCAGATGTTTTCTGGCAGCATTATTTCATTATGCACAGGCATATGTGACCTGTGATGTGATATGAATATCATCTATTTGTTTATTTTGCTCATCTTTCAAAATTTTATTATTTTACTTTTTTAATTTGCCTTTAAGAATTTTATTGAGATTTTTGTGTTTTAAAACACTATTAATAAATGTTTCTCATGCACATAATTCCAACAAGGTGATGCTCATCACCAAGAACTCCAATAACCTCTTCCAACTCAGCTGTATATTTATTAATGTTTTTCTATTTTCCTCTTATAGTCAAGGAAAATTAGTGTTAGGGAAATAATGGGGACAGAGGAGGGTTGGAGAGTTAGAATTACATATTCAAGAGGGGATGCTGGCTTCTCTGTAGTGAAGAGACCCAAAAGAACACATATCAGGTTGAGATGTGGGTGGATCCTTAAGATGGAGAATGTGCTCTTCTCTTTATTTAAACATTGCTAATTTGGTAGGAAAAGAAGTCTGTATATATATTTCCAATTATATTCTTTAAAAAACATTTATTTGAGAATGGTAAAAATGGTTTTATTTCAAGATGGTTGATTCTTTATTCCTTTTTTGTTGTATATCTGCTTCTTTCAATTAGAATTGCTTAATTAGAATTAATTAAGCAAACTGACCTTGTTTCTTTTTCTGTATTAACTATCTCATGTCTCAGTTGTTCAAAAATTAATTTTAAGTTAAATATTAGTTTATGTTTTCTTTCCTTTCTAGATATTTACTAATTAGGTTTTTTTTTTTTTTTTGCTTAATTATATTTATCATGGACTGGAACAATAGCGCAGCGGTAGGGCATTTGCCTTGCAAGCATCCAACATGGCCGACCCGGGTTTGATTCCTCCGCCCCTCTCGGAGAGCCCGGCAAGCTACCGAGAGTATCTCGCCCGCACGGCAGAGTCTGGCAAGCTACCCGTGATGTATTCGATATGCCAAACACAGTAACAAGTGTCACAATGGAGAAGTTACTGGGCCCGCTCAAGAAAATCAATGAACAACGGGAGGACCGTGACCATGAATTATATTTATCATATATAATCCCATATATGTTCCTTTATTATGGTATAAGGATAGAGAGGAAAACTTTTATCTGTAGGATAAAGGAGTTGTACAATAATTGAGAATCACAAAGAAATTTACTGTTTTTTCTAGGGGCCTTGATGCACTCAGCAAAAAAGCAAAGGCCTCCACAGTGGACTTACCAATAGAGTCTGTCAGTCTTAGTCTGCAGGACCTGATTGGGTACTTCCATCCCCCGGATGAGCAGTTAGAGCATGAAGACAAGCAGAACAGATTGCGAGCTCTAAAGAATCGTCAGAATCTCTTCCAGGAAGAGGTGAGCTTCTGTCTCTTCTATACTGTGTGGGGAAATAACTTCTGGGTGGGGAAAATTCTCTAATTTGTGTCCAGAGAGAGGAAGAGGTAGTCAACTAGCCAAAGGAATGCACTTCTGCACTTCATCCCTCCAAGGCAATCAGGCCTTGAATGAATCCTGCAGTTATTTGTATTTCCCAACTGATGTATATTAATGCTAAAAGAAGATATTTTTCATTGCACAGGCAAAAGAGATTTTATTTTACTGTCTTCAGTAAAGACACCGATTACTCTAACCCATGTGGAGAGTGTGTTTTATTAGGCATATAAAAAGAAAAAAAAAACAATTCTAAGGCTACCAAATAAATCCAGGCATCACTAATCATGAGCATGTTTCTTTGGTTCTTAAAAGCCTCTTGCAAAGGTCACAAGGAGCTGTGTCTTGTGGATGGGGAGGCCATGATGGGGGCAACATGAGGTCCAAGCGGATTCAGGCTCCCTGTTTAGTCAGAGAAATTCCACCTAATATTTCCTTCTGTTAATATTAAGTTTCTGTTGATAATCACAAAACAGAAACTTGGTGAAGATGAAACAAAGAGAGGGGTATTGGGGGCCGGGGGAGGACGTTAGAATTAGAGTCCGGACACACAGACCAAAGCAGTTCTTTCTTTCTTTTTGGGGGGAGGGTGGGTCACACCCAGCAATGCACAGGAGTTTCTCCTGGCTCTGCACTCAAGAATTACTCCTGGCAGTGCTTGGGGAACCATATGTGATGTTAGGAACCGAATCGGGGTCACCCACATACAAGGCAAATACCCTACCCGCTGTGCTATTGCTCCAGCCCCCCAGAGCAGTTCTGTATTGACTACAAGGAAGTTCTGTATTTGGTTCTGTATTTGGTTTACAAGTTCTGTATTTGGTTTACAAGAAAGGAAAAAGGAGGTTTGTTAATATTGTAATGGTTGACTCACTAATCTAGAATTAGACTGCTCATAGGAAGTTTATGTTCTCATATTGTCTGCTTCTAGTTGAGAATATCACACAGAACTTTAAATCCAGTAGGATTAATTCAAGAACATTTTCATTTTTTATGCAGGTGTTGCTTCATATCCATTGAAGAAATAATCTCAGTTTCATGATTGATAATCACAAAACAGACTTTCAGTTGGGCTTTTCAAACTTTTCATCAACCTCTCGTTTTGTTTGTTAGCAGAATCAAAGTTTCTGGTACTGATTTTCTTTTTATCCTTCTAGGGCATGATCAACCTGGTGCTGGAGTGCATAGACAGACTTCATGTCTATAGCAGCGCAGCGCACTTTGCTGATGTGGCTGGCAGAGAAGCAGGGGAATCTTGGAAATCGATTCTCAATTCTCTGTATGAATTGCTAGGTAAGAATTATGATTGTCTTTCAAGACAACTGAGTTGTATCTATTTAAAATGATCAGGTGATAACTTCGGCAGTTTTATAACATGCTTCTAAATGAAGGCCTTCAAATTTTACTTTAGTTATTCTCTACCCAATGATGTTTTGTATTAAAAATCTGAATCTGAGTGTAGAATGTAGTCAGAGCAGTAAATTTGCTTTCGGTTTAAGAAGGAGCATAATTGGGGCTAGAATGAAAGCACAGCAGGTGGGACATTTGCCTTGCATGAGACCGACCCAGGTTTGAGTCCCAGCATCCCATATCGTCCCCCAAGCACTGCCATGAATAATTCCTGAGTGCATGAGCCAGAAGTAACCCCTGAGCATTGCCAGGTGTGACCCAACAAGAAAAAAAAGAGCATAATTTAGGATAGACTGTTATAGGCAAGAACCCTCAATGTGGATGTATAGTCAGTGTTTTAATTTTTGATAAATGAAGTTTTTTTTCCTCAAGAGCCCTCTCATTCCCCTATTGTCCCATCTTGTCAAGAATCTTTTACACTCTTCTCTAATCCTTTTATGGTCTGTAATTGAAATGTAAAGTCTGTAATTGTATTTGAAAGGGCACACCCTGCAAAACCTTGTGGTGACCTCTGCCATATACCTGTTGGCTCTGCAAATGTAGGTCCTCATTATTTCTCTTCTTTATGATTTCGGTAGATTCTGTATGTCTCTTGTCAAGAACATTGAATAGCTGAGATTTTACCTGATTTGGAAACCACTGAATCAGCCTGCTGCCATTAAGATGAAGAGGAATTGTTTGTTTCTCATAGAAATAAACAGAATATACCTTTTCTGCCATAGACAGCAATGTTATATAAGAAATGTTTATAATTTAATATGCATTTTCTTATTTATATTCTAACTGATTAAGAAATTGGCAGTTAAAATATGTTAAAAGCCATATTTATTTATTTTATATTTGATTTGTTGGCTGCACCAAGCTGTGCTCAGAGATTACTCCTGTCTGTGTGCTCAGGGATCACTTCTGGTGGGTTTAGGGAATTACATAGAGTTCTGGGGATCAAATACAGGTTGGCAAGGCAAGTATTCTGTTCACTGTACTATCTCTCTGACCTCTAAAATTTACATCTTAATAGCATAATAGCCAAATGACAACCATATATTTCATCTAGAGCACAGTAGTATTTTTGTTAACTTTTAAATTATTTTTTAAGAGGAGATATAACTTCTAAGTATACTTTTCCAATGAGGACATACCCACACATTATTAACTTTATATTTGCATATTCTGCTCCTAGAGAGAAATTTTGCTCATCTCTCACATTTAAATCTTTTTGTTTCTTAAAAAAAAAAAAATCTAGGGGCTGGAGAGGTAGTATAGTGCGTAAGGCACTTGCTTTGCATATTTCCCACCCGGTTTAATCCCCAGCAGCATATAATGGTCCCCAAGGCTCTACCACGATTGAGCCCTGAGTTCAGAGCCAGGAGTAAACTCTGAGCACCACCATATGTGGCCCCAAAACTGAAAACAAACAAAAAGCAACAAATTTGTCTCAGGAAAAGGTGTGTTTCCTTTTTTGGCTGATACTACTTTTTTCCTTCTTTCCCCACGTGTCTGTGTCTTCCCTTTTTAGTTCTGGTGTGGTTTCCCTAGAGGACATTCTTTATAATACAAAAAGTTTGTCAAGTTGAGGCAAACTTGAACTTGAAGTCCAAAGGATTCAGGTTTCAATCAAAACTTATTTTTATTCATCAATGACTAGTTGATTATCTGATATGGAAAACACCCAGATTTCGGGAATGAAGTATTATGGTAACAAGACATAGTCCCTGCTTTCGTGGCACTATAGTTGAGTGAAATATGGGTTAATTAACCAAGCTGCCCATAATGCTGTGCAACTACTGATACAACTACCTTAATTATCTGTATACATCATTGTTAAGCCATATTACTAAGTACATTGCTGATCAGTCTGACTACAGAAGTTAGAATTTTACTGATAATACACATATCACTTAATGCAGTTCTGGAATTTGGTATAACTTGAAGTCTTGGGGCCAGAGAAATAACAGAGTGGGTAAGGTGCTTACCTTACCTGTAGCGGATTCAGTCGATCCCTGGCATCCAATATGGTCTCCAGAGCCCTGCCAAGAGTAATTCCTGAGTGCAGAGCCAGGAGTAACCCCTGAACATTGCCAGGTGTGGCCCCCAAACAAGCAAACAACCACCTGCCCCCACCCAAAAAAAAAGCATGCAATCTCCTTGCAGATTCTCTAAGGCAGAAGTTTTTACATAAATCAACAAGAAAAATAAACCCGTAGAAATAAATAAATTCAGAAATATATATTAGAAAATATTTTCAGCATGGCAAATAAATCAAATTAAAATGATAAATAAGAATATTTTACTTCTTTCTTAGGTTGGCACAGATAAAGCATTTAATAATTATCTTAAGGAAAATGTATAATATGTGTTTTTGATAGAAGAATAAACTGATGATATTTTATAAACCAAAGTATCTTGGTTTGATAGTTGACATAAAACTTTATAAACTTTCAATTTCAGAAATGTTACTTTAAGGAATATATTCTAGAGATACATTTGTAAGTGGTAGAAAGCATGTCTACTGCAAAATTGTTTATAAATAACACAAAATTGAACACAATTTTATATCAACAGGTTATTGGTTATAAATGTAATAGTATATATATACCTTCATAGTGTAATATTCTGTTACCATTGAAAATTGAAATAAAATGTCATTTGAAAAGTTGTTTATGCAATAGATAGGCAAGATTGCTGTTCCTTTTAAAACGGCAATCTAAGATGTAGTGAAAAACAAAAGATACTCTATGTAGAGCAAGATTCTAATGTATAAATCTAAAAGTATGTAGGGAAAATACATTCTTATGTGTAAATTATAAACCTATGAAAGAATGCATATAAAATTGTTAGGTGTCTGTGTATTCTATTGGATATTAGTCTTAAACTGTTTAGCATATTCTATCATTTAAAAAGTAGTTAAGATGAATTAGCCTAATTGTAATAATTAAAATAATAGAAGGAAGCTTATAATTATGTTATTATTAATTACCATTAATTATGTAACATTAATTCAATATAGAATGAAAATCAAATATAAAGCAATACACTTTTTGTATGTCAATAGATATATAGACTTTTTCCTTATATATATATATGATAGTTTTAATGGTGATTAGTTGAACTAGAATGAGAGAGTTATGACTAAATGTTCCTCTGACTACTTTTGATTTCTGTTTTTATGGCCAATCTGAGTTCGATTCCTTCACACCTCTCAGAGAGCCCGGCAAGCTACCGAGAGTATCTCGCCCGCACGGCAAAGCCTGGCAAGCTACCCGTGACATATTCCATATGCCAAACACAGTAACAAGTCTCAACAATGTTACTGGTCCTGCTCGAGCAAATTGATGAACAATGGGAGGACAGTGACAGGGACAGATTATAGACACTGATCTTATTATCAATAAAAGATTAATTAAAAACCTTATGTGAATTTAAGAACCAACTGCCACAACTATACTTTTTTTGTGTTAGTGAATTATAAAATAGGTAGCCTCATATATTTAAGTATATGCTTCTGTGTGATTGGAAAATTTTAATTTGCTAAAATAATTGGTGTTCTATAACATATTTGTATCCAAATGTCCTTTCTGGGTAGCTGTAAAGCAGTTTGGTTGAAAAATCAAGTCCAAATTGTGATGCTTCCTCTTCAGTCATCAGAGAGAGGCAATAGATATTTCTTGTGGTTATGTATTTACCTTTATGTATGAAATAAGTTTTCTCATTCCCTCCCTTCCCACCTCATGAAGTTTATTTAGTAAAGAGCATAAAAGCCGGCAGTGAGGGTGATAATCTATAACAATTTTAAAATTTGACAAGGATCCATTTAATATGTGTTTTAGGTGGATAATGACACAAGTAGATTTATGAGTCTGCCATCCGAAAGACCTTAGTACGCATATTCAGAGTTTGAAAGGCATTGTGGTGGCATGCTTTCATAAGTCTCTTCAGACATCCACACAATTAGCAGGAGGCTTGCAAGCCAGGATGATTTTCTAAAGATGTCTGAGGAAATGGATCCCTAGAAAGCTCTCTCTCTGAATACTTGTTTTGTGAGGTTTCAAAGTATGAAAGAAGCAGAGTAGATGGCTACATGTTCAGTATGGACACCTTTGAATCCTTAAAGACTCAGAGTGTAGCGACTACAAAATTTGCACGTGTGGAGCATTTTTTAATGAGCTCTGGATGTTCAAATGATTTAATCTCTATACCCTTGCATAGGCTGATTTTTATCTAAAAGCTATGATACACTGGTAGAAGGCAATCAAGAAATGAAAAGTATATTGATGTCAGTATGCTCCAATCGGGTTTTATTTATGAATTGGTGTCAACAGATGTTTCCTAGCTTGTTCTCCAGGACACCTGGCAAGAGCATTTTATAAACAAGATACAATTAAAGAAAAATTGGTAGGGGGAAGTATAGTATGACAGGTAGAACTGTACAAGTAAGTACAGCACTCACTTGCATACAGCCCTCTTGAGTTTGTTCCAGGCATCCCATATGGTCTCCTGAGCACCACCAGGGTGGTTTCTGAGTGCAGAGCCAGGAGTAACCCCTGAGCACTCCTGTGGTAGCTCCAAAAGAAAGCAAACAAACAAATAAAAACACCCAAATTGGCAATAATCTCATGCCTGTGAAGTAATGATGATAGTCGCTAATGCATTTTTAATGTAGTTAAATTTTTTTTTACCAATTTTATGAGATACCTACTTTTTTTTTTTGCTTTGTATACTACTACCAATCTTATGGGTATATACAACCAACCCATCTTTATGTTTTCCAGGTAAGGGATTCAAGCAAGAAGAGTTGGAATAGAGATGGAGAGATAGGAGTGGAGGCGCATACACATGCACTTGTGTGTGTGTGTATGTGTGTGTGTGAGAGTACTTGTGCTTGTGTGTGTGTGTGTCTGTGTGTGTGTCTGTGTGTATGTAAAATGTTGGGGCAGGGGGTGCACATAGGACCTGAGTACCTAACCATGAACTTTGGAATCCAGACTGCCCAGTTTCAGTTTCGGTTCTACTCTTGACTTTGTAAGCAGGAACATGATTTTCTTAATTTTTCCTGTCAACAAAACTACTTATTGACCTGCTGATCAGGACAGAGAGGAGAGAAGGCAGCATAATTTTTGCTTGCTCATGTGGTTGTGTGTTCTCTACGGTGACCAGAAGATCAAAGCTGAAATCATGGCGCCCGGTCTTGGCTGAGAGGTAACTTCCACTGATGGGCTTGTTGGAAGTTCCTAGCCAAGTTGCTCTTCCTGTATTGAAAAAGCTGCAACTTTATTCCAGTCATTTGTCAGTGGGCATTTAGGTTAATCCCATAGTGCTGCAAATAACACTGCTATGAATTTAGAACATAGGAGTGCAGTTATCTTTTTGAATCAGTGTTTTCGTATTCTCTGGATAAATGTCTATGGTGGTATTGTGGGAGTAAAGGGTATTTTCACTTTCAGTTTTTAAAGGAGTATTTGTGTGGTTTGCTGCAGAGGCTGCACCAATTTACAATCTGACTAATGGTGTACAAGAATTCCTTTTTCTCCACATCCTTTCCAACACGTGTTTCCAAACTTTGAGGAATGTTTTGGCCATCTTGCCACTGGTTATTGGATAGCAATACTTTTTGAGGTGGGTAGGCGGGTCACAGGCAGTGGTGCTCAGAGTTGACTTTTGAGTCTCATTTAGGGATCACTTATGGCTGTACTTCACATGGGAGCTCCCTGAGTTGCTGGTACTTGACCCAGATCAGCTAATTGCAGGGCAAGTACCTTACCTACTCTATTATCTCTCTGGCCCTTAGTCTTCCTATATTTGATATCGAAGTTTTGTTTCCACATAACTGGTAGAACTAAAAGTTACTTAACATTTAAGTGCTTGGATTTTCCTTTTTAAAAATGTTTTTCTTCCTAATATTTAATTTTATAAATTGCTTTCAAAAGTTGTGATCTTTGTCATTTTTGTTGCAGTAAATTTAATGACATTTTCTTTTTTGGATTACTGTATGATTTTCATAAATACTCTGTGTTTCGTAGAGTGGGTTCTTGCTTTAGTTATTACTTTCAGAATTGCGTTATCTCTATCATTTGACCCCTAAAATATTGGATATCTTTTATCTGAATAAGTGGAAGGAAAATTAGAGAGTGATTTACTTTTTAAACAAATCTAATGAGACTGCTTAAAGATGAAAAAGTTTCATTTTTTATTTTCCCTCAATTTCTGATGCTCTAAGACAGGGTCACTTATTATATTAAAAATGAGAAGTCCCACTGAACATTTGAACACCTCATTTCCCTGATAAACCTAATCCTCAAACCCTTCTGCCTGACAAGGTCCCTCATATGTCTCAATTGCTAGGATGAGATGTTCCTTACAGATGGAACTACTGGTCCCTTACTTGAGTAAGACCTATGTTAGTGAGTGAATTATTCTTTTTTTGTGGGGAGGCCTCCCCCGCAGTACTTGGAGAGTCAGAAGTCATTCTTCATGACACTCAAACTGGTAGAGCAGACTGTCAGTTTGGTGTTCAGTTTGGGGTTTTTTTGGGGGGGTGGGGTGCGGGAGTTGTGGTGGAGGACACTCTCTACAGTGCTTAGGTCTGACTCTGCACAGTGATCACTCCTGTGGGCTCAGGGGAACAGAGGGGGTGCTGGGGATCAAACCTAGGTCTGCCATGTGCGAGGCAAGTGCCCTACCCACTGTGCTATCATTCTGGCCCTATCACCAACTCTTTGTAAACAGATATATTGTTTCTCAACAATCTTATGGCTATGAGAGAGTTTATAAAATATTTAGAAGATTCTCTTGGAAGGAATTTGGAATAGTTAATTTTTCAACCTGAATATGTAATTGGGTTGGAAGAGATCAATAAAAATCAGGTGGAAATTTTATTTAAGTTATTTCTTGACAGAAGTAGAAAAATACTAGATTAAACACAAGTAGAATAGGTAACTTTAGACATTCTTAGAGTCTCTGCTAAGTAAACATTATGAGTCCAAATGGGAAGAAGGGATAAAGGAGAAAGAACAAGGTTTTGAAACTTTTTTGTCATTAGTACTCCTTTTTAGAACCATGTAACATTTAATTTTCTCTCTGTGTGGCTATTATGGTTAGTAGTTATATCTCCTTAGTATTTTGTGCTACATTTTCAGGAAAACTAATGTGCCCTTACCTTCTTTCTTATATAGGTGAGAAAACTGAGCTCTAGGGAAATTAAATAATTTAGTCTCATGGCTAATTAAAAGCAATGAGTATTAAAGCCGAAGCTAGGGAACTCCCCGGACAGTTTTTCCATTATCCTTCATTATTACCTCCCAATATGCAGTGGTACTTTTTTGAAATATATTCCTTCTAATTAGCAGTGTTTATTTCACTCCCCATTAATTAAGTTGATTTTAAGACCCATTTTGCATATGTATATGTATGTATATTTATATATGATTTAAATATCAGCTACAAATTCCGTTATTTATCCAGCTTTTTAGGTCTTCTCTTAGCTTTGTTGAACTGGAAAACCACCTAATTATGAAATCTTTTTTTTTTCCCCAGCGGCTCTAATTAGAGGAAATCGTAAAAACTGTGCTCAATTTTCTGGCTCCCTTGACTGGTTGATTAGCCGATTGGAAAGACTGGAAGCTTCTTCTGGTATGTTTTCCAGTTATTTCTTTATCATGACATGTTCTTTCTGTCTTCTTTCTACTGCAAATCCTTTAAGATACAATAGATACAGGTTTAGTATAAGTATGTTTTTTAAAGTAGATTAAATTTATGGCTGAGAAAGATGTTTTTAATTTTTTTAACTTTAAAAAAATATTTGTAGCCACACTCAACGGTGCTCAGGGCTTATTCCTGACTTTGTGCTCAGGGATAACTTCTGGTGGGTTTGGGGGACCATATGGGGTGCCAGATCGGTTCAGGATTGTTGCATATAAGTCACACCCCTACCCACTGTCCTATTCTCTCTGGCCTGACATTCATGTTTTTATTAGTTATTTTTCAAAAACATTTCTAATGTTACCTTTTCTTTTGATTTCTCTGAAATACTGTGGAGGATGAGCTGGAACGATAGCACAGCAGGTAGGGCATTTGCCTTGCATGCAGCTGACCCGGGTTTGATTCCTCCGTCCCTCTCAGTGAGTCTGGCAAGCTACCGAGAGTATCCCGCCCACACGGCAGAGCCTAGAAAGCTCCCTGTGATGTATTCTATATGACAAAATTAGTAACAAGTCTCACAATTTGTTGTGAGACGTTACTGGTACCTGCTTGAGCAAATCAATGAACAACCGGAGGGCGGTGGACAGTGGACTGCAGAGGACTGAGCTGAAGCAAGGTTTCAGCGAAGGACTAAGAAACAGACCAAAAAAAGGGGGAAAATAATAATAAAATAGTAAAATAAAAAATTAACATTCAGAAGGGCTGGAGCGATAGCACAGAGGGTAGGGTGTTTGCCTTACACGAGGCCTACTCGGATTCAATTCCTCCATCCCTCTCACGAACCCAGCAAGCTACCGAGAGTATCCTGCCCACAGGGCAGAGCATGACTAGATCCCCATGGGGGTATTTGCTATGCCAAAAAATGTAGCAACAAGTCTCACAATAGAGTCGTTACTGCCCACTCAAGCAAATCGATGAACACAGGGAGGACAGTGCTACAGTGCAGTGCTACCTTTTCCTTTGCATTTCCAAAAGAATATTCAGTGACTCAATTTTGATTCACCCAAAGTATCTAAGCCAGTCCTTAACCTCTCCTCACCCCCCAAGTAAAATTAGGGTCAGGTCACTAAGAAACAGAATTTCATTTATTTATTTATTTACTTGGACTGGAGCGATAGCACATCCAGATAGGGTGTTTGCCTTGCACAGCCAACATGGTCGACCCAAGTTTGATTCCTCCACCCCTCTCGGAGAGCCCAGCAAGCTACCGAGAGTATCTCCCCTCACAGCAAAGCCTGGCAAGCTACCCGTGACGTATTCAATATGCCAAACACAGTAACAACAAGTCTCACGATGGAGACGTTACTGGGCCCGCTCAAGCAAATCGATGAACAATGGGAGGACTGTGACCGTGACTGTGATTTATTTTTTTGCTTTTTGGGTCACACACCGCAATGCACAGAGGTCACTCCTGGCTTTGCACTTGGGAATTATTCCTGGCAGTGCTTAGGGGACCATATGGAATGCTTGGAATCGAAACCGGGTGGGCAAGGCAAACACCCTACCCACTGTGCTATTGCTCCAGCCCTTATTTATTTATTTATTTATTTATGGCTTTGGGCCCAGACCTGGTGGTGCTTAGAGATTACTCCTGGCTCCGTGCTCAGGGATCACACCTGGTAGACTCCAGATGGATCAAAATCAAGTTAGCCATGTACAAGGCAAACTCTCTAGTCACTGTATTTTGCTTTTGCTGCTTTTGCTTTCAGAATTCTTTTTATTTTATTTTTTTTGAATTTAAATAAATATTTCTTATCTGCTGTATAAAGTTCAATTACAATTCTCATTTTAACTTGTGTGCAAATGGCTAGTTGGGCAGATTTGGGAGAAAATTAGTTTCTTTTTCTAATTACTACTTGGCACCGAATTTCAAAGGGATTTAGTGAATATGACTAATCATTCTACATAGTAATGAGATGTTTATAGAAAAAAATCAATCTAGTGCATCCATTTCAAATGAGTATGTTATTTTTTGTTTTGGTGTTGTGGAAACATGCAAGTAATTACCAGGCTTCTCTGAATTTTTTGCCCTTTGATAGTGCTAATACTTCTTTGTGTTATTTAATTTTCTTCTTAAATTTCTATACTGTGTGTGTTTTTAGAAAGTAGGACATGCTTTTATTCATTTTTGTATTTTCTTGACTTACTACATTGTTTGAATCTGGTAGGTACTTAATAGTATTTGTTGAATGAATTCCCAAAGTCGCTTAATAAAAATGCCTGTAACCCAGAAAATAATACCATGACTTTTTAAAGAAATTACTCACATAGAGACTGGATCATTGAATCATTGCAATTAAATAAACAAGAAAAAAAAAAGGACATGTTGTTGGGGGTAATTTTTAGTTTTAGAATGAAATTTCAGAGATTTATTACTTAAAATATTTGAGTCATAGTAATTTCTATGGCATTGTTGGATGGTAAAAAGTAGAGAAGAGTGGTTGTTGAGATAATAATCTTTAAAAATATTCTTGTATTATTTTAAGAATCATAAGATTGGGTTTTCAGGGTATGCAACATAAATGGAAAGACTGAATCAATACAGAATACATTAAAATTTTAAAAAAGAGAAAACTAATAACTACTGAGAATGTATTCAGTCAAATTAATGATCACAAGATGACGGCAGAGTTTACACAAATGGATAAGTGCTTGTGTAAAAGTGACTGGATTGTTTTATCAGTTATTTTCTTTCACACTGTGTGTATATGTTAAGTGTTAGACACTGATCCCTTTTTCTGGCTAACAGAGTAGTATCTAGTAAGAGAAGATCAGTGAAACCTTCAGGATAGAGTGCTAATATTGGATGAATGAGCTGCCTCATTTAAAATCACACACACACACACACACACACACACACACACACACAATTCTGGAAATAAGAAGAGGAAAAAGAGAAGTAAAGGAGAGGGTAGAACATACTTTCAACTCAGCCAAATGGAGTCCAGTGTTTGTTAAGTCATCATTTTCATTAGTATTCCACTACATAAAATATTTTACTTTGATCTTTTCCCAGCCCATCTGTCAGATATAAGCATTTCTTCATAAGTCAGAAGTCCCTGTGTTCAGAGAAAATGCAGTGGAATTCAAGGGAGGAAAGGGCATTTAAAAGAAAGCTTAGTGTTTTCAACCTTCTCTGGGTTCTTGCCCCATTTTGACTTTATTTTCTGCTAGTGGGTTTCCTATCTTATTGCTTTTATAGTCTCCATGACACCTCCCCACCCCCAATAAATATCTGGAACATTTCATCAATTTTCGGTTCTGGAATTATTTGTCAAGATGAAAACCCTGTTCCCTTTCATTGGGTTTGAAATGTGTTCACTAAACATTGTATCCTTGTAGTGTTAAGCATCTGAAGCATTTTTCACTAAACAGTTTTCTCTGCTGTGGTGATAGTTATACTTTTGATGAAATTATTTACATTTCACTAGAAGTAGAATGCTTCAGATCTCCCCAGTAGTAGAATGTTGCTTAGATTTTAAAGAAAGTAGCATAATGGTAGGCATATATGTGTATACGTATGCATTATGTCAGAAAGTATATAAATTCATTTCAATCATGCTTTATTGTTTACTGAATTCTTATATATGAATCATCTTATTTTTATCTGTAATTGCAGAAACACATATGCTTCTCAGCTTGTCATTCTCCCAGCTGCATTACTTGCTTCTTTGTGTCTATATATGAGCAGAAGAACAGAACCAGGACAATTTGCAAGCTCCATATTTCCTTCAAAAAGTCAATGGGCAGAAATTAAAATAACTTGTGAAAACTTAAGTACAACACTTATGAAAAATTAGAAAGGTTCAGCAAATGGATGTATGAATGAAATAACTTATCTTCTTAGGGGTCTACTAGAAGAAAGTCTTCAGAAAAGGAATGAAGAGCAACTTTCTTTGGGATGTTAGTGGACATGAGATAGAAGACATAAATGCTGGAGTGTGTGTATTAGCAGGCTAGTTATTGCACTGGACTAACTGGTGCTTTTCACAGGGGAATTTGAGAGTCTATAGAACTTATGACAAGAGTTATCCTCTTGAAGAGGTAAGGAAGATGAAATATCTGTAACTAAATTTGCTCTGTTATTGGGGCATTGATTCTGGAAATTCTTCAGCATCTGTTGTGGTTAGAGAAAACCTGAAGCTGAGAAATGCAGGAGCTGCCATTCAAACTAAGGCAGTATCACTGAGTGGATAGGAAGAGGGTTTGAATAGGGCTTTGGCAGTGTCTACTACCCGCCAGCTACTGTTTATCTTACTTAATGATAGTGTTCATAAAAGGCAACTAACCAATTTTTTGACCAATTTTTTTCTTGCATGATCTATACTGTCTATAATTGACCATTATTGTTCATGTATAAAGCTTCATTAACACATCTAATTAATTTATAAGAACAACCACTGTGAAGTTCTTGGAAGGACCAGAGAAAAAGAAATTAAATACTGTTCCAGACTTCATGTGTTACATGTCTCTGGGTGGCATTTAATTAAAAAGATAAAGTATTTCTGTGTGCAAGTTGATGGAGTTGATGAAGTTTTGAATTCTGGCATTTTCTTCCTTTCCAACATCTGGCAATCTATTTGGACATTACTGGAGTTAACTGAAAACAGTCAGGAGACTGCATACCTTCTCTGAGTCTCATTTTTTGTTTTAATACTCCATTCCCCAGAAATTTCACAATGATAAAATGCATCCTCATTGGGATTCCTGTCAATTTCCCCTTGCTCTTAGTAAGTGATGGCAAGTAAATTAAGTCCCTTTGGGTTTAAATAGAATAAGAATCTTTGGTGTTGAATTTCCAAAGCTTCACAATAACATATAGAGAAACTTTTCTTAGCTATAAATATGGTCATTTGTCAATTCTAAATATGTCAAAACTCTCTTTCTTCAAGACCATAATATCATTATTTTCAAAGGAAAGTGAATAACCC